ATTCCAGGGAGGGACTCAGATCCTGCTCAAGCCACCCGTCAGTATGTGGTCTAGAGGGAAGGGGACTGTGATTGATGGACCTACCAAAACCTCATGGAATAGGGAAAGGATGGTTTCACACAGGAAATGGAGATACCACTAGCTCAAAAAACTGGGGAAAGATGCTGAGCAGACGACAATAAAAATACATGCCCATCATTTGTGCTTTATGTTCTTTAAATATGGTTTAGTCTTTTTCCCGTCTGCCCAGTCTGCTGGGCAAGATGATGCATGCTCTGCAGTACGTGAGGGTGCTTGGCTGAGGGGATGCAGTGGGCTGAGATGCAGCCAGGGTTCCACTCACAAGCTTCCTTTTTCCGGGAGCCACTCTGATTTTGACTTCAGACAAAAGCTCTGTGTGGTCTCTGTGCACATTGGCCCCAGTAGATATTTATGTCTCCATCGAACCACAATAGCTTATGCCGAAGTGAGAATAACAGGAGAAAAAGTGTAAACTGGATGTGTGTCTGCACCTGGATCCCACTGGCCACCTCAGTGTAGATCCTGCACTTAGCCATGTCTTGCACAGGTTCTCAGAGACATGACTTGTCTTGGGAAATTCCTCAGTTCTTTTCCTTCCCTTCCCTTCCCTCCATTTTTCTGTTGGTCAAAATTCCCAAGAATGCATGTTAGCTTTCTAAATTTTAGGGCGACCGAATGGTGATATAGGGACTGTCATCCTTCTTTCTGGCTTATCTACATTTCTCTGCATTTCCATGTTGATCACCCTGATAATTCTGCCTCCAGAAGAAGAAGGTTATAGATGCCTATGTCTATCACTTGCCCTTCAGTGAAAACGATTTGTCTGAAAGTTCAATCTCTTTGAGGTTTGTTTTGTATTTTATCTGATTAAATAGATCTTGGAGGCAGGGAAATGCTCATTTTTAAAAAAGGAGGTGAGCCAAAACCGGTTTGGCTCAGTGGATAGAGTGTCGGCCTGTGGACTACAGGGTCCCGGGTTCGATTCTGGTCAAGGGCATGTATTATACATTGGTTGCGGGCACATCCCCGGTGGGGTGTGCACAGGAGACAGCTGGTCGATGTTTCTCTCTCATCGATGTTCCTAGCTCTCTAACCCTCTCCCTTCCTCTCTGTAAAAAAATCAATAAAATATATTTAAAAAATAAAAAGGAGGTGAGTGGGTTGAAGGAAAAGAAACTCAGTCTGACTCATTTCAGGCTGCCGGGAATCTCCCACGTCCCAGACACACATCCTGGCCTCTCATTACGGAGGTTCTCGGCAGCGGGCCAGCTTATTTATCTCGCTTTCTGGGACGGCTTGGCTTCTCCCCTGCTTCCCCCGGACACTGTTTCCATTCATCTGATTCTCTCTGAACACTGTCTTACTGTGTGCACCTATTCGTCTGCAGGTGGCCCAAACTGGCAACTGCTATTTAATCTACTCATTGGATTCTAAGTGCAAGATCACAGGAAGTTTGCACCGACATCACCTGGGGAGCTTAAAAGAAAAGATTCATAGGGTTCAGTCATAGAATTCTCAGTCAGGAGGTATGGGGTCCTAGAATCTGTATTTTACGAATGTTTCCCAGTAAGATTCTCCAGAAAGGAAAAGGAGGGGATGATGACATAGATGAGCACACCTCAGCATCCACTTGTCTCCTATCCAAGGAGAAGAGATGGATATACTAAGGCAGTGGTCGGCAAACTCATTAGTCAACAGAGCCAAATATCAACAGTACGACGATTGAAATTTCTTTTGAGAGCCAAAGTTTTTAAACTTAAACTTCTTCTAACACTACTTCTTCAAAATAGACTCACCCAGGCTGTGGCATTTTGTGGAAGAGCCACACTCAAGGGGCCAAAGAGCCGCATGTGGCTCGCGAGCCACAGTTTGCTGACCACGGTTCTAAGGCATTGCAAACAAATATTGATGAATACAACAATTTTCCTTAAAAGCAGCAGTTTTTTTTTTTTTTTTAAACTATGTTGTTTATATTATTACAAAAGTTCCTCATTTTTTCCCTCCTCCACCAGGTTCCCACCCCACCCTGTGCCCTTTCCCCACCTCCTATTGTCCTCATCCATAGGTGCAGTTTATGTTCAGTCTCTTCCCGCATCCCCCCCCCCCCCAGAATTGTCAGTCCACTTCCCTCCTGTATCTCTGATTCTATTATAACCAACAGTTAATATTGTTCATCAGGTTTTTTAATTTCCTTGTTTTTTTTTTAATTAATAAACTTTTATATTTTTAAGAATAAATTTTAAAATCTAATAACTTTAAACCTTGTTTTTTCTGCCCTAGGAACTGAGGAGCAAACTTGTTTACATGTAAACTTGCCCTTGGGCTATCAACAGGCATAGCCATTCAAATGTAAATGAACACATTGTTTAAAGATAGCTGCTGGCTGGAATTGGATTACCTGTTCTGGGAGGGAAGGGCATGTCTTCCCCTTTCTCCATTAAAATTAAGGTGTTAGCTTTAAAACCTGTTTTTGGCAAGAGACCTTAAACTTTCAGAACTTTAAATTTTTCGGGTAGCAAATCAGTTACTTAGCATTTTCTCAAATCAATAATACCTCCATATTCCCAAGGATACACTTCAACCAAAAGACACATCCAAATAGATCAACCAACATCATCCAGACCCCACACAAGGCACTCACAGATCAACACCCCAGCGCTACAACAACTCAACACATCCAGATCTAAGCCTTTATCACTTGACTCAGCAGACACTCAAGTTCCCCCAAAAGTTTCCAGCCATGTCTGAGAAGCAGCCCTGGGGCATGGGCAGGCGAGGAGTGAGCTGTTATGGGCCTGGATGCTCCGGGCCTGGCCTCTGTTGCTTCGGGCCTGGCTGCTCCGGGCCTGGCCACTCCGGGCCTGGATGCTCTGGCCTGGCTTCTCCGGGCTTGGCTGCTGCTGCTCTGGGCCTGGCTGCTCCCGACCTGGCTGCTCCGGGTCTGGTTTCTCCGGGCCTGGCTGCTGCTGCTCCGGACCCAGCTGCTCCGGGTCTGGCTGCTCTGGGCCCGGATGCAAAAGCAGCAGTTTTGACAACAACAATTCTTAGTCTGAATTGGTGGGCGGGCAGTCCATTCAGGCAGTGGGGCCATCTGTCCCTCACCAAGTCAGCGCCACTTTCCTGAGAAACACCTGGGGCCTGTGGGTCTGTTGTGATAGAGGCTGTGAAAGCATTTGCAGATGTTCAAACCGGCTCTCTGTGCAGGCAGATGGGCATGGTCTTCCAGCTTCAGTGCCCACAGTCTCATACTAGCAATAGAAAGTATGTATTTGTGTCTCTTAGTTCAAAGTCTGTGAGGGAATCTGGTCACTGGCCTGCTGCTGGAGAATCTTCCGCAATGAGAGGCTAGGCTGTATGTCTGCCTATTAGGGGCTCACTCTGGAAATGTGTGTAAGAGCAGACTTTGAGAAGGGTATGAAGTGGTAAGTGTACTATGAGCTTTCTTTTGGTTGGCTTGCAAAGTAGAGGGTTAAGTGAATATTTGTGATCCCTTTTTATTTTGGGGATTATTCCCGAGATAACAGGGATTATATTCCTACTAGAGGCCCAGTGCACAAAATTTGTGCACTCGGTGGGGGAGGGGTAGGGTGGGGTCCCGGGGGTCCCCCGCAATCCAGCTTGCACCCTCTCACAGTCTGGGAGTCCTTGGGGGATGTCTGACTAACAGCTTAGGGGAGCAGGCCTAAGCCGTCAGTAGGACATCCTTAGTGCTGCTATGGAGGTGGGGGAGGCTGCTGTCCGCTGCACTTGCCAGCTGTGAGACCGACTTCTAGCTGAACAGTCCTGCCCCTATGATAGCCCACTGACCACCAGGGGACAGCTCTGTGTTGAGCCTCTGCCCCCTGGTGGTCAGTGCATGTCATAGTGACCTGTAGTTCTGCCATTGGGTCGATTTGCATATTAGCCTTTTATTATATAGGATAATTAATTTTTTGTATAGCAGAACTACAAATATGACTCCAATCTAATTTTATATGAGAAATAAATGCCCTGTATAGTATGCAACATATAGCAAGTGTTTTTATAGCAGACATTATCATGGTTTCTGCATAATCTAATAAACAAAATGTATATTAAGATACACATAAAGTGCCCAGCCAGCATGACTCAGTGGTTTAGCAAAACCCTGTAAACCAGGAGGTCATGGTTTGATTCCCAGTCAGGGCGCATGCCCTGGTTGTGGGCTGTCATGAAGGAGGCAGCCAATCAGTGAGTCTCTTGCATCATTGATGTTTCTATTTCTCTCTCACTCTCTCTCCCTTCCTCTCTGAAATCACTAAAAACATATTTTTAAAAATATATAAATAAAGTAACATGATTTATTACTTAATGTGCTTAAAATACATTATCATATGCCTTACCTTTTATTGTGTACTGACATATGTAAAGGATTGTAGCAGTCTGAGATCACTCTATAGTAATGGAACCCATCACTTTATTTAATAATTTTTTCCATTGTAGAACTTCAGGGACAGTTGAAGACATTACATAGGTATTAGTTACATAGAATATGCAAAGATAAGAAAAACTTATAACCAAGATTGAGCACAGAAAATAGCTCTGTAGTATATTTCTGCATACAAAGCAGTTATATGACAAAAAGCAGTTATGTGCTAAGCCCAAGAAGTATAGTGCATCTTAGGGCTGGTTTAAGAAGATATGTGTGTTATTTTTTTAAGGCAAGAGGATTTATTGTGAGGGTTTTAAAGCAAACTCAGCACACAAAGTGGTGAGAAATACAGTGTGGTGGTTAAAATGAAACCTTAAACACCAGAACTCGGTTTAAAATTAAAGCTCTGTGCCTGACAGTTTCATGAACCAGGGATGAAAGATTAAAACCGATTTATAAAATGGAGCTAATGACACCTACCTGATGGCAGTGTTGTGAGGATAGTGTTTTATATCTTTAATTATGAAAACCTTCAGTATCCACCTAGTTCATCTGATTTTTAAAAATCACCTTATCTTTTCTTTCCCAGATCCCATCCCTGTGTGGAATGTCTAAACATCTTTTATTAGTGGAAACCTTATTTTGCTATAAAATGCACTCAGCATCTTAATTGAAACCAGCATCTGCGTGGCTCTGATTCATCTGCTATGGTTTATGGAGCTTCAGATCTAAGGCGTCCAGGGTCCTCTGCGATGACAATATGACTAATAGTAAAGGAAGATCTGTTCCGAATAAAGCAAGCGGTGGTCCGAGCAGCGGAGGAGGGTTTGTAGCCTGGACCTCCAGCTTACATACAGTTCAGTCGGACAAGTTTCTAAACTTACTGTCGAGTATGGTTCCAGTCATTTACCAGAAAAACCCGGAAGATAGGCACAAAAAGGCCAACGGCCTTTGGCCAGAGGGGTTATCAGCTGCGGGACAGACGTTCGGTACCAGGTCTGAGCCCCATGTGGAGTACCACAGAGTCTCGGAGCCGACTTTCCATGGCAACAACGGGCACACGCCATTGAGCTACAGCCCGAAGTACGACGACTATGCCAACTACAATTACTGTGACGCCGGGGAGGCTTCCGAGACCACGGCCATGCTGCAGGCCGAGGAGCTGCCCAGCGACGGCGAGGAAGATGTCATCCTGGAGGCGAACCCGAAGCTCCCCAAGGAGTCCAGCGGCATCATGGCCCTGCAGATCCTGGTGCCGTTCCTGCTGGCCGGCTTCGGGACCGTTTCCGCCGGCATGGTTTTGGACATAGTCCAGGTGGGTTTCCATCTTTAACCTAACCGTCTTGGTTGTTCCGAGCGCTTTAGGTGGGCTGCTCAGCTCAGACACTTACTTTAGATTTCAGCTGTCCCCTCGTAGAATGAACTGACGTGGACTCTGGTAGAGAATTTGCTCTTTGTAGGTGTTTTCTTATTTGTTTTCCTTTATTTTCTTTTTTTCCCCTTTTTAAAATATATTTTATTGATTTTTTTACAGAGAGGAAGGGAAAGCGATAGAGAGCTAGAAACATCGATGAGAGAGAAACATTGATCAGCTGCCTCTGCACATCTCCTACTGGGGATGTGTCTGCAACCAAGGTACATGCCCTTGACCAGAATCGAACCCGGGACCGTTCAGTCTACAGACCAACGTTCTATCCACTGAGCCAAACTGGTTCCAGCTATTTTATTTTTAAAAATATATATTTTATTGATTTTTTTACAGAGAGGAAGGGAGAGGGAGAGAGAATCATCGATGCAAGAGAAACATCAATCAGCTGTATCCTGCACTCCCCCCACTGGGGATGTGCCCGCAACCAAGGTACATGCTCTTGACTGGAATCGAACCCGGGACCCACAGACTAACTCTATCCACTGAGCCAAACCGGTTAGGGCTTGTTTTCCTTTAGAAGTTCTAAGATAATAGTTTCATTCTGACCAGAACATAAGTCTCCAATAAAGTTTTACAATAATAAAGTTGGCTGTAAACAACATAGAGTGTTAAACAAAAGATATTCCTCATCTCCAGCCCCAACTCTCTTCACCTCCAGAGGTTACCTTGTTCTGAGCTTGTTGTATATGCTTGCAGACTTGTTTCTGTGCATATGTATATACATTTGTGCAGATGTGGTGGTGTTTATTTTTTTTCAAACATAAAAAATGAAATGCTGTATCTGTTTTTCTGGAACTTATTGTCATTGCTTATTATTACATCTTGGACATCTTTCCAAATTAGTAACAAATATATTCTGCATTTTCAAGTGAGTGCCTGATGCTCCATTGTATGTATACACCAGACTTTACTTATTCATTCCCCCATGTTGGTGCTGTCATAAATATTCTTATAAATATATCTTTATAATAACATTTTCATCAGATAGCTTTTTGTGTTACTTTTAGTAAGTTTTTGTTTTATTTTAACCATTGTATCCCTGGCAGTGTAGTTATTGTTATCTGTAGTTATTGATCATCATCATCATCGTCATTACCACCACTGCCACACCATCATCTTTGATGGATGTATCTCCCCACTAGCACAGCAGAATCCTTGACCCATCATGAAACATGGACAGGAACCTGTTTGTTACCTTTTGACAGGGTAAGGAATCCAGGATGCCACTGGAGTCCCAGTGCTGCTTTAGGCCCATCTTTAGTTGCAAGGGAGGGCTTTCCTTGAAAAGCCTTTGAACCAGGTTTTATCAGAGACAGATCTCATAAACATTTCCTAAACTCTCTTTCAGCCCTAGTGCTACCCCTGTTCAGAACAACCTCTAGGGAAACTTTGGGGACAAAGTGAATTTTTCTTTAAGTTAGCTGATGGATTTAAATTTTTCTCGTCTGTCTTGGTATTAATGATGACTGTGTTCTTGATTATTTTTTGGCATAAATTAATATACTTAGTTTATAAAGTTTCTTATTGGGACAGTCCCGTCTTAATAGCATTTGTAAAATAGCACAGTCTGTGAAGTCGTTTCGGTTCATAAAGTACTTTAATGTGTGCTACTTTCAATATCATGGTATTTTCCAAAGGTCAAGACAGAGCAGATAGTATCTGCATTTCATGGATGAAGAAATTGAGATCTGAAAGATACTTGCCTCACCCAGGATCACACAGTCAGGTTATGAAAGATCCAGGCCTAGAATCTTGAGTCTAATTTCCAATTTAGTGCCCTTTTATGATCCTACTAGATGCCCGATGCTTGAAATTCGTGCAAGGGGCTCAGCCTCTGCCGCTATGGCAGCTGCCTCGGCCCCCCCTGCTGTGGTAGCTGTGGGACCTGCCTCAGCCCCCGGCGCCATGGTGGCTGCCTCCTCTGCCTTGGGGCCCCCTCCCCCTGCTGTGGCGTCTGCTTCCTCTGCTTGCCACAGCGGCTGCCTCGGCCCTCATAGCCCTGGCTTCATCCAGAAGGACATCCGATATAATTAGTATATTATGTTTTTATTATTATAGATGCTCTGCAACCTTTTGCTTCAAAACGTCAAATTGGGACAGAACATGGATGACTCATAACTCCTGAGGTCAATTCTGAGTTTCATTTTTGACCTTGGGAAAGTCATTTAACCTCTCTAAATCTTTTTTTCTTCACTAGAAGCCTGATGCACGACATTTGTGCACTTCTGGGAGGGAGGTCCCTCAGTCTGGCCTAAGCCCTTTTGTAGTCCAGGAGCCCTTGGGGGATGACGGCTTAGGCTCGCTACCTGGGGCATCCTTAGTGCTGCCAGAGGCACTAAGGGGCACCTCCTGCATTGAGCATCTTCCCCCTGGTGGTCAGTGTGCATCATAGTGACTAGTTGTTCCACCGTTCCGTCAGTTTGCATATTACCTTTTTATTATATAGGATTTGTGAAATTAGATAATATTAATGCAGTTTTCCTGTGGGTTTGTTGTAATTAGTGTTGGAACCAAGATTCAAACCCATGTTACCTGGTTCTTGAGTCTGTGCTCTTAATCATGAGTTACACTAACTTTTGCCATCAAAAAGGAATAAAGTAACCTTTAAGGGTAGAATGTGTAGCAAGCTAGATGTATTTTGGGATGTAGTGACTATTAGCTACCACTCCCAACTCTAACTGGAGCTTCTAAAGTAACTCAAGTTTTCAGAGCTACGGAGAATGGGGTTAAGCGAAATGTTCACTGATTAAATGACCTGTGTTGTCATTCAAAATGCAAATGCAACATTGGGAAAAAGGCTGAGAGTTTTTAGAAATGTCTTTGTTCTAAAATATGTTGCTGTTTTTTAAGTGTCAGCAAATTCTATTTTTATTTTTCTTACAGCACTGGGAGGTGTTCAAAAAAGTAACAGAAGTTTTCATTTTAGTTCCTGCACTACTTGGTCTCAAAGGGAACTTGGAAATGACATTGGCATCTAGATTATCCACTGCAGTAAGTTTTTGCCTACCTCCAAGTATGTGTGTTACTTATGCTGTTTCCATCTGTTATGGAGAACCTGTATCAGGAGACATTTTTCTTTCCTGTCTATTGGGTACACGTCTAGACCTCAGGGCTATGCTAAGGATTTCTGCTTGATAGGATACTGGAGTGTCCTCTGTGTTGTCCTATCTGAAAATCACAGGCCCTCCTTATCCCGAGAAGCTGTAGTATACAGCAATATGGTTGCATTATGTTTTAAGAACTGGTGGGTCCCCTCGGTAGAACCAAATCCGAGAGGCTTTTTGGCAGGAGGAGGGAGTAAAGAAGCGGTCTTGAAAAACAAAAGTGGCAACCTTTAAGGGAGAAGAAGGTTATTGGGCTAGAGTTGAAAGGTGGCTTTTGTTTCATTGTGTTGGAAAATGAACTTTGTTCTGATAAATATAGTTAAGCATACAAGCATTACGCAACTTGGTAACTTTGCAGAAAAGTGGAAATTTTGGCTAGCTTACCTCAAAAGAAAATATTTCTAAAAGCAACATTCTCAAGCATTTCCAGCATTCATTTAGATTCAAATAATAAATTAAACATTAGTTTTGAAATAGGCCATTGTGTAGGGACTATGATTAAAAAAGAAATATGCTGCAAGTTAAATGTTGTTTAATTTGATCACGTTACCATTAAAACTGAGTAAAGGTGAGTTCACTCTTTTTTTTAATGTTTTTTAAAAATATATATTTTTATTGATTTTTTACAGAGAGGAAGAGAGAGGGATAGAGAGTTAGAAACATCGATGAGAGAGAATCATCGATCAGCTGCCTCCTGCACGCCCCCTCCTGGGGATGTGCCTGCAATCAAGGTTCATGCCGTTGACCGGAATCGAACCCAGGACCTTTCAGTCCGCAGGCCAACGCTTTATCCACTGAGCCAAACCGGTTTCGGCTTTTTTAATGTTTTTATTGATTTCAAAGGGAGAAAGGGAGAGGGAGAGATAGAAACCTCAATGATGAGAGGGGGAGAGATAAAAACATTCATGATTGATCAGCTGCCTCCTGCATGAGCCACACCATTTGAGCTGAATTTACTATTTATTTTTAATTTGAACTTCAGTTGTTTTGGCATCTGTATTTTCTATTAGATATTTTCCTCAAACAACTGGTCATGCCTGTTTGTGTGTTCATATTTAAGAGAGAACGCCAAAGCTGATTAGAAGCTCCGTGTATCTGTCGTAGCCTTCACTGCAGAGTGATCTCGTTGGGCCTTTCTTTGGGGAGGCGGGGTGACATGGCTGCCTTCCATCGGTCAAGGATCATGTCACTGATCATAAGATATCTGAGTCATCAACTGAAGGAATTATTCAGTTCTCTTCAGCAATGAAGACACCGTAGACTTGATGCACAATCTGTGATTTCTTAGCTTGTTGCCATGAGCCACCACTTTTTCCTCGTACTCATTGGTTGACGCTCATTTCTTGAGCTCTTTGAGATAGAGCTGTTCCAGGCAGTGCCAAAGGTCAAAGGCAGGACTGTTGTTGATATGTTAGACCAATGGTTCTCAAAGTGTGGCCTTCTGATCAGCAGTGTCAGCTACTTGTTAGAAATGCAAATTCTTGGCCTCACTCCAAAGCTGCTGTATCAGAAATTGTGGGTGTTTGGTTCAGCAGTCTGTATTTTAACAGGTTTTCCAGGTGATTCTGAGGCACATCCAAAATCTGAGAACTACTATGTTGGCTGAACAGCACAGAGGCCAGTAGGGCTGGGACCAATGAGCCAGGGGATAAGTCACAGGGAATGAGATTACCTTACCAGCCGCTGCAAGGACTTTGGTTCTTGTGTGAAATGGGAAGCCACTGTGGAAGGTTTTGAACAGAGGCATGATGTGACCTGACAGATATTTTTAACAGAATATTTTGACTGTTGTGTTGAGTCAGGACTACAGGGGGCCAAGGACTGATGATGCAGCCAGACAAATGGAGATAACGTTGGCTTGGATCAGGGTGGTAACAGCGGGTGTAGTGAGAGCTGTTGGAATCCAGAACTCATTTTCAGAGAGAGAGTTGACAGAATTGGCTGATGAGTTCGCTAAAAGACCAGGAGTAGCCACTTGAAATTTTTTTTCTGGATTTGAGAGGAGTAAAGTAAACGTATTCGTAAATGGAAAACCAGTCACTTGTGGCATCAAGCTTTGTTAACATGTTACATTCACCTATCAGGCGTCCTCAAACTTTTTAAAGTGGGGGCCAGATCACGGTCCCTCAGAGAGCTGGAGGGCCAGACTATATGAACTACTAATTCCTACTGTAACACCTCGGCTGCGCTCACTGCCCAAAAAACCTGGCGGGCCGGATCAGACTCCTCTGCGGGCCGCATGTGGCCCGCGGGCCGTAGTTTGAAGACGCCTGATCCTAGTTTATAGTGTTTGACTTGCTTAAAGAATGGTCTCGTTTGCTAGGTAGAGAGCTACGATTCTTATGGAATGCTGGAGAGTCATTGTCCGTTATAGTCATTTTGATACTCTGTCCACCGTTAGAGCAACTCCAGGTCAGTGACTTCCTGAGACCTTGTTTGGAGGGTCTAGCAGGGGAGGGCAGCTACTCGAATACACTTGACTGAAGACAAGGCCTCTCCTCTTGAGGGAAGGTCGTCCTCTTTGACTGACTGTGTAGCTTCTGGAGGCAGCATATGGATTGGTGATGGAGGGAGGGGACACCCGCTTAGCCAGCCAGATGAGCTGAATCAACCCTGGCAATCAGTGGGGTGACAGATGTCTCAGCCAGGTCACCCTCATGTCCCAGATTAATGACTTCCTGATAGCAGAATCCCCAAAGTCTCACCTCGTATGGACTCTTCACTGGCAACTCCCTACATGAAATTTTTATTATCCCCAACTGAGACCCCACACTCTCCTCATTCTCCCACCTCTCTCTTTGCTGCTTCTCAGTCTACTTTTTTGGTCTCTCTTTGCTCATCCTCTTGATTTGAGACTTTCTGAAAGTTTTAGGACTCTGTTCTACGTGATCTGTCAGTAATTTTGTGCAATCCAACACTGCCAGCACATGGCTCAGCCCCGTATCTCCAGTCTCTTTCCTGACCTCCAGAGCTGACTTTTCAAGTGTCTGTGCCACTCATACATTCAAAACCAAACTCATGACTTTCTCTTACCCCAGCCATTCCCTTTTATCCCTTATCAGTTTGCTAACATTGCCAATCATCTCGTGCTCCCCTCTCCAGCTGGACTGTCAGTTTCTGCAATGAAACCCGCTTCCCTTTCTCTCACGCCCCACTCGCCACAACCTGAACTTAGTGCCTGTTGTGTAATTGAGACTGTTGCAGCTGATTCCTAATTGTACTCCGAGGGAAGAGTAATTATTTGTTAAGCTTAAAACAAGCTCTTTTTGAAAATCAGCCTTTTCAACTATGTGCAAAAAAATCTTTAAAAATTTTTACGGTTTTCCAAGGAAGTTTTAATGTTCACTTGTTAAAGGAGTAAAAGTCATTATAGCTTTAGAAGGCCAATCTATGATTATTTTAATCTTTTTGCCCAATGAAAGGGTCTTTTCTCATTTTTATGATTGTCTGCAGGAGAATTAGGGTAAGTGAGCTTATAAGATTATAAGGAAGGCCTGGAGAAAGTATAAAGATAGCGATCTTAAAACATAAGATATCAGATATAGGCTATTACGTCAATCTGTTGAAGGTTAATTGTGCTTAAAACTTGTTACTCTATAAAGCATACACCAAAAAGGTTGCGGGTTTCATCCCCAGTCATGACAAGTACTGGAGGCCACCAATCAATTGATATTTCTCTCTCTCTCTCTCTCTCTCTTATCTCTCTCTCTCAAAATCAATAAAAACATTCTCAGGTGAGGCTTAAAAAATACTTAACTTGAGTATTTTTCCTGGATTTTTATCTTTTCAACAGTAGACATTTATTATAGTAGATATTGTTATAGATACAGAGCATTAGTATATAATTGGAAAATAAGCCAAGAACAGTGGTTCTAAAATTGTTGGATGCTATTACCTGAGGTCTGAAATTTTCTGCTTCTGAATGCTAGACATAAATGAGTAAAAATGGTATCCATTGTCCTAAAGATAGTATTTTTAAAAAAAGCCTGTGAAACTATTTCCCAGAGGCAAATTGCCTAACACAATTTGATAGCATGTTTCCTCTTTAGGCAAATTCACTTCTGTTGCCTTGAATCTCTTCTCAGAGAACTCTTGATTTTTTGAAATTAGTTTATAAGATTCTGCCTCTTTAATGAATTTAAAAAGATATATATATATATACATATATATATATATATATATATATATATATATATGTATATATATATATATAATTTCAGAAAGGAAGGGAGAGGAAGAGAGAGATAGAAACATCAATGATGAGAGAGAATCATTGATTGGCTGCCTCCTGCACGCCCCCTACTGGGGATTGGGCCCACAACCTGGGCATGTGACCCTGGCCGAAATCGAACCTGGGACCCTTCAGTCCACAGACTGACACTTTGTCCACTGAGCCAAACCAGCTAGGGCTTAAAAATACTTTTGAATCTGCTGTATGCCACGTACTATCCTGTGTGCTATGAAATCAGCAACAAACAAAACAGAAAATGATCCTGCCCTCATTGAACTTACATTTCAGTGAAGGGATATGAAGAAGTTGGCAGAACTTCTATCCCTAATAATGTTAAGTTAGACTTTCAATTCAAATTTTAAAACATAAAATAAAGAAAAATTAAAGTTCCAAAAAATGATATTAATAATTTAGATTTACAGGCTTAGAAAAGAAGTATACAAATTAAGACAGGATGAATAATTATCCAAAACACTGAGAAATACTAATATTTGCATTTGCTGGGTACTTTGAGACTATGGTCCAGAGTGAAGTTAGGCAACAGGATCTGTTTTTTAGATTGATACAGGAAAGGTTGATGTAGCGCACAACCGAATGATCTGAAGCCAGTTTGACCATAGCTAAAGCAACCCATCCTATATAATGAAAGGCTAATATGCAAATAAAACAAAGGGTGGAACAACCGAACAACCGGTCACTATGACGTGCGCTGACCACCAGGAGGCATGTGTGGAACATAGCAGGCATTGGCCATGGTGGGATGGTGGAGCAGGTGAATGGGGGCGCCAGACCAAGGCAGGGTGCCAGTCACTGTCATCGGGGTAAGCCTCTGGTGGTTACTGAAAATTCTTTGCTCCCGTGTACCAGGGTCCCCCCCGATGCTTGCACCCGTTACAGATGCCGGTCCAGATCACTCAGCTTCATCAGCAGGTGCAAGCAGCAGCTGCCGGCCCTGATTGCCCCAGAACTTCTCCGCCTCCCCCTGCTCCAGAGGGATGATTGGGGCAGCAGTTGCTGCTCGCACCCGCTGCTAGCACCAGCCCCAATAGCTCTGCACCATCAGTGGATGTGAGCGGAGCTGGTGCCATCAGTGTGTGGGAGCGGTGGTGGGAGCGGGGCTGCCAGCAGACAGGGGAAGAGGGGGCCATGGCAGTAGGGGCCAGATTGGGGTACAGAGGATGAGCCAAGACCTGCCCTGTGCCCACTGCAGCCTTGTGGCCCACAGTTCCTTTCAAGGTGCACGAATTCATGCACTGATTCCCTAGTAGGTATATAATACCCTTAAATATTTTCCATTTTACCCTTTTACTTATCTTCTATGACCAAGCAGATGATGAACAATTGAAACCTGGCTCCGTATAGTATTTTTAATAACGATTGCTCATTGTTTTCCAAAACACTGCATTAAAAAAAAAAACTTGTCAGATTTGGATATATATTTTATGAATCCTAAGTGGTTAATAAGTATGATTTGGCTTATAGAATAATATAATAAGTGAATAATAATATTTTTTTGGAGTGCATTCTTTTATTTAGCAAAAAGAGGTATAAACTTTAATAGTGAGATAAATGATCAAAATTCATATTTAACTGAATGAATTTTTTATTATTAACAGTGTTAGTCATGACTCAAATATAAATTATGTTCATATGAATGAGTTGTTTGTATCTGGGCTTTTTGGTTAATAATTCTTCAAATTACATTAGTTTCATGATGTGAAATGATATGCTAGCAACTGAAAATTTATGTATTTATATTGAGTGTACATAAAATTTGGCATGTTAGGATGCTCTTGATGGTGTTAGTTGAAAAATAACTACACACTACTGGGAAGGTGGGTAGTATTAGCTAGTCCATGTGTGAGCTAGTAATTAAACTAAAAAAATTTTTCTGAAACATCTCAGGCAAGCTGAATAAGAGATGTAAGACTGGTAGTGAACTCAGAATTATATTTAAGTGCAATGTGAGCTCATCAGATTTACTAAAGAATTACCTTTGGCTTTAAGACTTCATATGTTGTTTAAGTGAAATAGAGAGCATATAGTTTATTCAGTGATATATAAAAATATCTACCTTAACAGGTAAATGTTGGGAAGATGGATTCACCCATTGAAAAGTGGAACCTAATAATTGGCAACTTGGCTTTAAAACAGGTAAGTGATGCACATATTTATTTATAGACCTTAGGTTTACAGATCTTGGTTATTAGCTGTAAAAATGAAATAAATTTTAGTTAAGTCTACCATTTAATTATTTCAGGGGACCCAAAGTGATAATTCAGTACTGCAAAAAAGGGATAGAATAAATTAATATCAATGATTTAAAAAATTTTCTTTCTCTAGAAATTGTGTACTTCTAAATATGAAAAATATATAATACAAGTATACAAAATATTTTCTGTCATAAGTGTATTAGAGAGCCAGATTTTGAGTTAATATTTGTACCAATATAGGATGTTCCCCCAAAATATACACATTTAAAAAATGCTATTTTTATTGGTTTCAGAGAGGAAGGGAGAAGGAGAGGGATATTGAAACATTAATGAGGAGAGAGAATCATCAATTGGCTGCCTCCTGCATGCCCCATACTGGGGATTGAGCCCACAACCCCCTGACCGGGAATCATACCGTGAGCTCCTGGTTTGTAGATTGACACTCAATCACTGAGCCACACTGACCGGGCAGGAACTAAAGTTTGTATAGCATTAATCATGATTGTGGTTACATGTAAGGTTCTTGTTTAATGTCCACCAACCAAAGCTCTTTAAGGGCAGGGAATAAACTTGCTTTGACCACTGTTATAGCCCAATACCAAGCATAGTGCCTGGTACATAATAGACGCTAAATTAATAGTTGTTGAATAAGTGAATTTGAATAATTTGCCACAAGGTTAAGTAAATGGTGTAGCCAGTGGTCAAACTCTTATCTTTGGATTGTAAAATCCAGTCTCTTGCCAACACTGCCTCTGGCATCAGCCTTCCCTTCTGCGGGTGGTGTACTCTTCAGCCCTAAAGTCGGTATTTTCTTAGACAATCTGGATCCCATCATAAAAGTCACTTGAGATGCTTGTTAAAAACAGATCCCTGGACCCTGTTCCATACCTGGGCAGCTTGAGAACCCACCCCCTTAGAGAATACTAAAATTCAAATATAGTAGCTTCTCTAAAAGGCAGCTCAATTACTAGTAGCAGTACTTTCCTCTGACTCCTCCTATGCACATTTATGTAATCAGGCTTACAGGTGTGTTTGCAAAATGAATAATTCCACTGAATTTTATGGGGGAAAAATTTCAGGTTCAGGCCACAGTGGTCGGTTTTCTAGCAGCCGTGGCGGCGGTTATATTGGGCTGGATTCCGGAGGGGAAGTACCACCTTGATCACTCCATACTGTTGTGCTCCAGCAGCGTGGCAACTGCCTTCATCGCCTCTCTCCTGCAGGGTAAGAACACTCACAAGCACCTACTCGTAGTCTTTTACTTTCACTTCCCAATAGCATGGCTACTTTTTTTTAAATGTTCATAATAATAATAAAAAAAAATATCGAAGAGTTGTCTATAAACTTAAAAAAAATATCTTATTTTTTATATTTATTATCTGTAAACCTGAGTGCAGAACAGGCTTTTAGAGTTGTCTCCTGGCCTCACGTACCCTGGTACAGTTCCCAAACAAGATCAGGAGAGTAGCTGAGTTACTCCTTTGTTTCTGTTAAGTTAATTGAGAAACTCCTTTCTGGAAAGTCATGCTGAGGATTTTACTGGCTTGTCTGTTGAGTAAACAAGGATTCCAAGAATCCTGAGTTCCAAAAGCAGTCTCTCTGTTGAAATTTTTTCAAGTTTCAGATTTCAAAGAAAACTCTGCACCGTCTCTGTGGCAATACAAATATAACCGTAAGCTTAACATAGCAGATGGTTGCCTCTTGAAATTGAGAGAGCCAGAAGTTGTAAAAAACTAACTACATTAGAAATTTTCAGTTGGGATTTTGTTTTAAAAGAGGAACTTCACACCGGATAACTAGATTATTTATGGACTCATAATCATAAAGACTTGGTTCTTTTTATTTTATAAACATCATCTTTTCACCTTTACATCACCAGCAAAGTTCAAAAGAAGATTCTCTTGCTAGGTGATCATATAATGAAGCTAACTTTTTGGCTAGGTTCTTTCCCAGAACTTAGAGAATTTAATTATAATTAAGACTTGACTTCTTTCCCAGCCGGTGTGGCTCAGTTCATTGAGCATGGTATCCCATACACCAGGAAGTCACTGGTTTGATTCCTGGTCAGCGCATGTGCCTGGGTTGTGGGCTCAATGCCTAGTAAGAGGCGTGCAAGAGGCAGTTGTTCAATGTTTTTCTCATTGATGTTTCTATCTCTCTTTCCCCATTTCTGCCCTCCTACTAGGGCACATAAGTAAACTAATCTTAAATTGTCTCCACTGCATCCTTTGAATGAGTATGTTGGCATGAGAAAATCTATACAATTAGGTGTGGATATAAACGTTACCATTTTTCTCCCATTTCTATGATTCAGGAAGATAAGGACTTAAAAATGTAAGTACATAGTAACATTTTCAGCTTCTGTTCTTTAGCTATAGGCTCCTAGACACAAACTGTGGATTGCGAGAGTATTCTATAAAAAGACAGCTCCTGGCCTCATGTTAAAAATTGAATTACTTCCTTCCTCTTAACATTTCAGTACCTTTAAATAATAAAAGGAAGTAAGTATTTCTGGCTACCACTATGTAAACAAATCTGGTTTTATTGTTTTTCTTCCCCAGTTGCTATGCATATAAATATGACTTACCTCTCTTTGATATTTTTATGCATTATTTGAGGGTTAAAATAAAATGTGTGCATTTGATGCACACAAATACATTGCATCTAAGACATACAAGTTACTACATTTGAAACTTTAGCTTTAACTTTATTTGACAGGAGGTTTTCAGGTGTCTAAATGCAACACTGACCTCGAATCTTCCATGATTCCCCACTTGGAATTCCTTGAAAGGCATTTTGCCAGAGCACTAGCAAATGTTTTGTTTGTGTTAGTCACTTGTTTAAGCAGTCTAACTGAAATTCATAGGCTGTTTGTCTAACCTGTGTATTTTGTATGTAGGGCAATTGATTGTTTTTGAAATCATAGCAGAAGAGTAATGAATGTTCTTTCTTCTAGGAATAATCATGGTTGGGGTTATCGTTGGCTCAAAGAAGACTGGTATAAATCCTGATAATGTTGCCACACCCATCGCTGCTAGTTTTGGTGACCTTATAACGCTTGCCATATTGGCTTGGATAAGCCAGGGTTTGTACTCCTGTCTTGGTAAGTTGAAACTAAATATAATGTGTTAATCAGAATATCTTTAAATAAATATTGTTATAGAAATGCCATGAATCTGTGATGGCCTTCATCCATGTTAGAAGTGTGGTTGAGACTGATTAGGACAATAACTGCTATTTGTTGTACATGTACTATTGATATTAGGTCTAGTAATAATTAATGTCATTTTCTAATACTTTTTAAAATTGAATTTATTTAAACAATACAACAAAATTTAATCAACAATATAGTTGCCGTTGTTTTCTACTACTTGTGCCCAACGCTCAGGAAGCATCTTAATCCCTCTGTTGTAAAATTCTTGTGATTTTGATGCAAAAAATTTGGTCAATGCATTTTTGAGGCATTCTTCATTATTAAATTTTTTTCCAAGAAGAAAGTTTTGCAAAGAACGAAACAAATGGTAATCGGAAAGGGCAATATCAGGAGAATATGCAGGTTGAGGGAGAACTTCCCATTCCAACTGGCGCAGTTTTTCAGCAGTGATTCTTGCAGTATGCGGTCGTGCGTTATCATGGTGAAGAATTACGCCCTTCCGATTAATCAGCGCGGGTTCTTTTTCTCTTAAAGCTTGGGCTAACCTTTCCAATTGGGCACTATACACTGCACTTGTAATGGTTTGGTTAGATGGTAAAAGTTCATAATGAAGAATTCCTTTAAAATTCCACCAAACACACAACATCACTTTTTTCGCATGCAAGTCAGGTTTTGGCGTGGGCTGTGGAGCCTCATTTTTGTCCAACCATTGAGGCCGCCTTTTCAAATTAACATACAGCACCCATTCTTCTTCTCTGGTAACAATTTGCTCTAAAAACGGCAAACGGTTTTGACGAGAGAGGAGCGAACTGCAAATTGTGACACTCTGATTACGGTTGTTGTCGGTCAACTCATGAGGAACCCATTTTCCAAACTTTTGGACTTTGCCAAGTGCACGCAATTGATTGGAAATTGTTTTTTGTGAACAATTTAAAGTTGTCGCAAGCTCTTGTTGGGTAATTTGAGGATTTTGCACCAAAAGAGCTTGAAGAGCTTCTTGATCAAAATTAGACACATGGCCTCGACCACTCTTGTCATCTAACGAAAAATTTCCCTCGCGAAATTTCTCAAACCAACGCTGGCATTTTCTGGCGCTAACTGCATCTTGATCAAGAGCACTACAGATGTTTTTTGCAGCCTCACTTGCTTTTCTTCCTAATTGGAACTCGTAAAGCATGCAGTGCCGAATATGCTCTTCATCCGCCATCTTCTTAGCCCTAGTTTTGCAACAAAAACCAAACCAAACACAAACTTGTTAATTGCACTTCACACGTTCTGTAGATACCACGTGTTTGTCAATACAAGTCAACGCCAAGCAACATTTTAAACGAATGTTTAAAAACGACATTAATTATTACTAGACCCAACCATTTTTTGTCCAACCATTGAGGCCGCCTTTTCAGATTAACATACAGCACCCATTTTTCATCTCTGGTAACAATTTGCTCTAAAAATGGCATGTGTTGTGGGTCTCATATATCTTTTCTTTAAAAAAAATATATATTTTATTGATTTTTTACAGAGAGGAAGAGAGAGGGATAGAGAGTTAGAAACATCGATGAGAGAGAATCATCGATCAGCTGTTTCTTGCACACCCCCTACTGGGGATGTGTATGCAGCCAAAGTATATGCCCTTGACCGGATTTGAACCTGGGACCTTTCAGTCTGCAGGCCAAAGCTCTATCCACTGAGCCGAACCGGTTTCAGCTCATATATCTTTTCTTACAGAATAGTTAAAAACTCTATATTATTATCTTTAATTTCAGATGGGAAACTGAGGCTCATACAGGTTATATATACTGAGTGGCCAGATTATTATGATCTCTGAGGCCCGGTGCCTGAATTTGTGCATGGGTAGGGTCCAGCCAGCCTGGCCAGGGGGAGGGGACACAGGCGGTTGGCCGGGCTGCCTGCTGGTAGAACTCCTGGTCGAGGGGGCAATTTGCATATTAGCCTTTTATTATATAGGCTATACACTGAGTGGCTAGATTATTATGCATTCAGAGATCATAATAATCAGGCCACTCAGTGTATCTTATCCACTAATGGTAGGAAGATTGAACACAGGTCTGTCATTTTCTATGATCTCTGCCCTTTCCTCTAAATGGGTAGCCAGTGAGGAGTCAACCTACAGTGTTCTGATACGTGCATTGTACTACTGTCCCAGAACATAAGCTTGTGGTAGTTCTTGAAACCCAGTGATCTCCCCTCCCCCCTACCCCTCATCAGAAACCAGCTTGGCAATTAACTAAAAGAAAAAAACACACAATGAAAATGAACCTGAATACTGTGTGAAGTTGGAGTCATCTTATATATGTGATTTCTGATAACAGTGATAGAGTATAGAATCTAAGGACTTGTTGACTGCGATCTATACTCTGGGACCACTACCAATATGAATGAATATGATTTGCAAGAATCGATTTAGTGATGAAAATTGATTGTGGTTCATTTTTTTTTTTTTTTTGGTGCCAAATTAAAAAAAATTGAAACAGAAACCTATAGTAATACCAGGGAGGAAAAGATAGTTTATAGCCAAAGTAGAAGCATTTATTCACATATGCTCTTATATTTTCATGGATACTTCACCGATTTATGCTTTACTTTAGATAAGTCTAAAGTATGTTTGGTTTGAAGAAGAATCTCAAATACATGTTTTTGAACTAAAGGAAGGGCTTGAGCCTAACAAAGGCAGGAATTATCTGCTACTTTCAGAGACATCAAGGGAGGTTTCATTTAGTACCTAAAATTACCTGAATTCTGTAATGAGCAGCATAAAAATAATGCTCAGTAAGAGCTGATGTGTATGTTCAAGGAATTGTCTTCTCATTTAGAAGATTATGTGTTTCTACCTAGAATAAGGACACCAAACAGTTAATGGCCTTAATCTAAGCTCCCATAAGTCTTAGATGGTTGTTTTGTTGTTGTGGAATACACAAGGAATGATATAAATTCAAGTATACTCAGAGTAATCCTCAATTCCTTTCTCTCTCAGTTAATTAAAAACATAGAAAATGAGAATTATGTTTTTAAAGGGATAATCTGCTCTAATTTATATTCTTGGGTGACAATTGGTCATACTTTTGTCCTCTAAACTTTTTAAAAAATATATTTTTAATGATTTTAAAGAGAGGGGGAGAGGAAGAGAGAGATAGAAACATCAATGATGAGGGAATCATTGATTGGCTGCCTCCTGCACCTTGGACCAAGCTGCCTCTTGCATGTTCGATTCCAGGCATGTGCCCTTGACTGGAATCGAACCTTGAACCATTGGGGTCTGCAGGCCAACGCTCTATTCACTGAGCCAATCCTGTTAGGGCTGTCCTCTAAACTATTATACAGTTTAGAAATTGATGCTGAAGTCAGGGATTGAAATATTTGCTTGTGGTTAGTATTAGAGAATGTGACTCAATGTTGTCCTCCTGTCGTGTTCAAGTTACTCACCCACTCAGCCAGGCAGCTGGGCAGCTTGCAGTCCTCACCCCTGCAGGAATGGGCGGTTAGTGATCAGGGAAGGGAGACGGTCATCACTGGGCTGGATCCCAAAAGAGAAGGGATTAGTTAGGCATGCTTGGTTCCCACTTCCGAGCTTTACTAATTAGGAAAGACGCCCCAGTCTGAGGAAGAGGGAAGAGGGAAAAAGGGCGTGGTAGAAAAGGGGGAAGGGTTTCTTTCTAGTATTATTAAGAGGACAGAAATTCTATGGGTCTGGCCAGGAACATTGAGGATGGAGTTGGGGATGCGATACTGGGATGGTAGTGGTTTGGGGATTGGTTCCCTTACAAACATAAAAAAGAAAGGTACATTAATTGCAGTACATAATTACCATCCAGTCATTTTAACACATTTCTGAGCTGCTTCATTAAAGCCACAGTGGTGCCTAAACCGGTTTGGCTCAGTGGATAGAGCGTCAGTCTGCATACTGAAAGGCTCCAGGTTCGATTCCAGTCAAGAGCATGTATCTTGGTTGCGGGCACATTCCCAGTAGGGGGTGTGCAGGAGGCAGCTGATCAATGTTTCTCTCTCATCTATGTTTCTAACTCTCTATTCCTCTCTGTAAAAAATCAACAAAATATATATATTTTTAAAAAGCCACAGTGGTAAAAAAAAAAAAAAAAAAAAAAAGGATAAAGAATACCATTGAAATATGTTATCATAATAAATGATACAGACCTAAGTATGAGATTCCAGAAGATAGATCAACGTTAGAGGAGAATACTGTGTGTTGACTTTTCAAATTTTATTTTCTAAAATTACACAAGTGATAAACTCTTCTTATGAACGACTTAATCATATGTATTGTCATCTGAAGCTTCAGTTTTTGAGTGTTATATATGATACATTAGTAGTTGAACTGGATCAAGAAATAAAGCAAAGTAGAATGTTATCAGAGACCATAATTTTGAAAAATAATTTTATTATTAAGTATTGCTTAGACTTTTTAGGCCTTGTATTCTGCAAGTTGGCTCAAAACAATTCAAGCTAAACTAATTAAAATCAGATCTTTTACATTTCGCCTGTATAATTTATTTCCCTAAAAAAGATATTATTTTTAATGGGCTACTACAGTGATGTAATTTATAAGAAGGAGATGTTTGGTCATTCAGGTGCTCAGAATATATTTCTCATATATGTTTAGCCTTTGTCCAAGGTTCCTGACTCAGTTTCCCCAAACCCTTGGGGTTTCCTGAGTGATAAGAGCAATGGGAGCATCTTTTGTTGTAGTATTTTGTCATAATATCCTGTCCTCAATGCCTGAAGTTGCTTCAGAGCCAAAAGGTGAAACAGGTGTCTTGTTATTCATAACCAGCCCCTTTTCATCACTACTGGGTGACGTTTGGAAAGCACCTAAGGATGGGGCTGGTTGGTTGCTGGGGAAACCACCCAGAGTAGAGGGATGAATCTTTCAGTCCCATCTCTGATGTGTGGGGAGGATAGAGAGGCTGGAG